TTTTTTTTTTTTTTTTTTGACCCACTTTTGGCCCAACCGGAATTCCGGTTGGACCACCGGGGGTCCAACCGGCCCGGTCCAACCGGACGGTTGCCGGCACAGCCATAGCCACAGGTAAGTTTCCCTGGCCTCCGCCAAACATCTCTCTCTCTCCAACGCTACTCTAGCTCCTATTAGCGCCCAGCGCTGAAGACTACCCCTAACGCTACTACTACTACTGCAGCGCTCCTCCAGAGTGCCGCTGCCGAATCCTGAAGACTGCCTCCTGCCTCCTGCGCGTGAAGTGCCCGTGAACTGCCTGGGAAGTCCCTATGAACGACCTTGTGACTACCTGTGAAGTGCCTGGCAGACCATTACTATATAGTGTTGGTCCGGCAGGGAGGCTGCTTTTGCCAATGCCAAGATGTGCCAGACCCTGGCGTTGAAGTTCAAACAAAGGTTGTCTTGAAACAGGCCCGAAAATGGCCTGTGCTAAAACCCTGGTCTGGTGCCTAAGTTTCAGGGCAGATCGATCTTATGAGGGCCTGAAAATGGCCCTCCGTTTCAGGCTGAAAAGACTCAGGGCCTGGAGGGCCCTGTTTTAGGCTGAAACGACACAGGGCCTGGAAGGCCCTTACTTTTCCTTCTTCTGTCTGGTCGGGCCTTGCAGGCCCGTGTGGTGCGTAGTATGACACAATTATGGGAAATTGATAGGCCCTTGAGGGGGTTAAATCCGGCACCCTCACTCCCCATTCACCCAATTTCCAGTTTGAGGCTTCGCTCAACAACTCCTTCCAGCATTTTGCGGTGCAGTTGATAATGGATTCTAGATTCTCGTCTCGACAGTGACATCCTTTGAGCTGGGAGGCAAGTTCCCGCTCTGTCACCCAGTCCTTTTTCTCCTTGTTCCACAGATGGCTCACTTTCCAGACCCCATGTTTGATCCATGATAGCCATCTCCTTCCTCTAGGCTTAAGGGATAGTTGGTGATCACTTTCGTCTCTCGCCCACGGATTACCAAACAGGGGTTGCCTCAGCACCTCGTCTTCGGATTTGGGTCTACCCTCTTTCTTCGGCACGACTTCCCGCCATATCTGTAACAAAGTCGTCCAATTTGGTGTGGGGGGCCTGGCTTCGTTTGGACCGGTTCCTCTTCGTTGATTTCTGGGCCCTGTACTTGGGCTTCATTCCTTGGTCATTACCCAGAACAGACCGGACATATTTGCTGGTGTGGCTGTAGGTGCCAGGCCCCTGATGCTACCCAAGGCCAGTTAATTCCATGTCGTACCAGGTTTAGTCAGTAGTTTGACTATCCATTTAACTGGTAAGGCTTTGGTTTCCTGTTTGGGGTCTATGATACCAAAACCTCCTCTGGCTCGTTTCCTTGTGATGTAATGCTAGGCTATCTTTGGTATGCAGTTCTCTCTGTTAGGGTCGCCCGACCACGAGTATGCTCTTGCTTTACGGTTCAGTTCCTTGATTGTATGGTCCGGAACTGTCCAGATTGATGCTATATACCACATCATTGAAAAAATAGATGTATTGATGGCTAGTGCTCGGCCCAACAATAATGTGAATGTGCTACTCCAGCTGCCCAGTTTGTTAATTTGTTTGACGAGTATATTTTGGGCCATTTGAGGGGCAAAGCCGTCTTTTGTCAGTAAGATGCCTAGATATCGTGTAGGGGCCTCCGATGTCTCCCATGTCATGTCTGCCTCGAGGCCTTGAGGTTGGGGAACCTCCTCCTCCGATAGCCACCAGCCGATTGTTTTCCTCCAATCAATCTTCATTTCTGATGTCAATCCGAAAGCTTCCATTGCTCTTACTAACGCGCTGAACGACGAGTCTGTAGCTCTTATGAGGACCATGAGATCGTTTGCAAACATTATTACTGTCAGAAACTGTAGGTGGTGGGTTGTTCCTACATTGACCTCTGGTAGCCTGTGTATGGAGGGATCTTTGCGTACGAATGAGGCTATTGCTACCATCACAAAGAGGAAGATTGGAGGAGCTAGCGGGTCCCCTTGGCAAACTGACCGAGAGATTGGATAGCAGTCAGAGAGCAAGCCATTGACTTGATGCATCCTATGGCATCATTATAAAGAATGCGCACCCACTTCCTAAAATTTGGGCCCACACCCATCTTTTCCATGCCTGCATTGAGAAAGGCCCAGTTGACCTGGTTGTAGGCCTTTTCAAAATCGAAAAAAATAAATTATTGTGTTTATCCTTTTTTCTCTGACTTTGTTGGTCGCATCGTTGAGGGTCAGTATGTTGTCCAGAATGTACCTCCCAGGGATGAAGCTTGTTTGGTCTATATGAAAGCATTTGTTTGTCAGGTCTAGGATTCGAAAGGCAAGAGCTTTGGCTAGGATCTTATAGGGAAGTGTTAGAAGCGAGATGGGTCAATAGTTCCTGATATATGTTTTCTCCCCTTTTTTGTGCAATAAAGTGACCACGCTGCTACTCGGTAAGTTTCCTAGTCCCCCCTTGAACCAACTATCGTTGTAGAAGTTTAGCAGATCGCCCCCTAAGAGCGGCCACAATTTTTCCCATAATTCTTTTGTCATCCCGTCGATTCCTGGTGACTTATTGTTGTTCATACTTTGGACAACAAAAGTTTTTCCATGGTGATGGGCTTGTCCAGAGCTTCTGCATGTTCCTGAGATATCGTTTGTTTCAGGTATTGTAGTATCTTAGTCCATGCCTCTCTGGTGTTGGGCGGAGTAGGTATAGGGGTCTTCGTGTGATAGAGCTCTTCGTAGAATTCCTTTGCTACGCGTTGGCCCTTGAGTTTGCCTTGATTCTTGCGAAGAAGTGTTTCGACATTGACTCACTTAGCTTGTATTCGTTCATTCTGGCTCTTATTTGTTGTCCCTTTAGTTCCCACCATCTCCATATAGTGAGTTCTTCATGTATAAAGTGCAGAAGAGGGGTTATCAATCAGATTTGTCTCCACGATCTTCAGGGCTGTCTCCAACGCTTGTTCCTTTGTTTCTTGCCGGTCACTAATTTCCTTGAGATTCTAACAATCGCCTGTGATAATGTGAAATAACTTTCCTGAAACCATTCCCACCGATCCTGTATGGGTAGGTAGGCACCCCACAAATTCTGCCAACACTCCTGAACTCCTACTTGAAAAGTCTGGCTCGGTAGGAGGGAGGCGTTGAGTTTGTGAAAGCTAGACCCCTTTTTGACATACTGCTCGAAGCTGATTATGAGTTCGATGGGTTCGTGGTTCAGACCGGGGTACGGTGCGAGGGACAGGATCTCAACGCTTTTAGCTATCCCCATTAGTGGCCCTGAGATCAAGAAATACTCAATGAAGGAGAAAGCGGTGTGGTGGGCATGGTTCTTTTTAACCAATGCGAAGACTCTTGTCCCCGGATGCAAAGTCCAGTATTGTTCGACTAGATTGTAGTCCATCATCAACTTTTGGATGTGCACCGCTTCCTATGTAAGGTAACCAGCCGAGGACCTAGATGCACGATCAGTGGCGGGGTCTATAGTTGTGTGCCATACATGCAAGCGCACCTCGTGCGGGCAGTTCCCGACGTGCGGGCAGTTCCCGACGTGAGGCCCACACGCCCAACCGATCTCGTGCGGCGCATGACATGTGTGGGGAACGACCCATCACCCCCCTCCGAAAAAAAAAGAAGAAGGCCGGGGGTCAAAACAGTGCGTTCGAGACCCCCCACCAAAATTATAAGCGGGATGAAAAAAAAAATTTCCAGGAGTGCTGCCTCACCTTGCTCCTCCTCCCCTTCCTCCTCCTCCATGCCTCCTCCTCCCTTCTCCTTTTCGTTTCCTCCTTTTCGTCCTCCTCCTGCCCTCCATGTCTCCTCCTCCTGTTCGTCCTCCTCTTGCCCTTCCTCATCCTCCTTGCCTCCTCCTCCTCCTTGTACTTCGCCATCTTCCATGCCTCCTCGTCTCCTTACCTTGTCAGTCCGTCCATCTCTTCTCCTCCCCCATATCTGCTCCTCCTCCTCGTAGTCGCTACTCTCATCGTCCTCCTCGGCCACATCCTCCTGCTCCTCTCCATGTCCCCCTCTACTCGCCATATCCCCAGCTTCCTGTCATACGCCCCCCCCCCATCCCCCCTCCCAAAAAAATAAATAAATAATAATAATACTAATAAAAAACCTACGCAATTCCGCACAGGCACCCCCCGCACGGAACTCCGCACGAACGTGCGGCTCGTGCGGTTGCAAGTATGTTGTGTTCCAATCACCGGCCAGAATGCAGGCGGATGAAGGGGGGGTTCAAATGGCCGATGTTTGTTATAAATATTGATCTGTCTGAAGAGCCGTTTGGTGAGTAGACGTTGATTACTCTAAAGTTTCTAAACTCTTCCTCCTTCCACTTTACATCCATAAGGCACCATCTACCGTCTACCGTGTCCGCCTCTTTGCCCACTACCGACCTTGCCATGTATAGGTGGGATGATTTGGGTATAAGGATGGCTGTTCCTTTCGTGCTTGATGTAACAAACAGGTCACGAGTTTCCTTGATAAGAGTTTTTGAATTCTGTTGTGAGGTGGTGTGGCGAGCTTCTTGCAGCACATAGCCGAAACAGACAGACTCCAATGATAATATCATGGATATTGTAGCTGAGTGGTGGACGCATGTAACTATTAACAAACAGGTCACGAGTTCGAATCTGGCAGGAATCGGACCAATATGACGCAAGATAAACATAGTAATGGACTTCGAAGAACTACATCTTAGGACCAAAAAAGACAACAGAGTGGAAACAGCGAGACTCCAAAGATATTATGCACACTGTAGCTGAGTGGTACACATGTAGTTATTAACAAACAGGTCACGAGTTCAAACCCGGCGGGAATTGGATCCATATACAAAGGTAAGGGGCTACCCCTTTGTCTTTTAAAAGAGGAAAAATAATTAAAAAATGCATACTGTAGCATAAGATGAAATGCAGACCACTTAAAGAAGGGAGAGAAAAGGGAAAAATAAACAAAAGATGGGATTTGACAGACTGTTTTGTCAGATATACAGACCTGAAAATAGTGGAAACGGCTCAGGAGAGCGCTGATGGTTTTCCTATTATGAGCAGAATGGATTGCTGCAATCTCTTCATCTGACAAGTTTTCCATTTCGCGAAGAACGAATGCAAGGTTTGCGCCCATGTACGTGTCTGGTCCATACCATATAGACACTTCCGGTACTTGTGCGGATGCCTGCACATCACCGTAAGCACCAAACATGTCCAGAAACGGAACACCACAGATTTGTCACACCAAGTCAAAAGATGACCACCCTCACTGTTACAGTCCCTGATACATGCTATTAGCCCTATTATTACTGTCATTTTTTTGCCCGCCGAACCCATTTATCTGTCATTCCTGAGAGTCATATCTGTACCTGATGGGAAAAGTGCCCTGAATCAGATTCCATTCTATGCAGGCAAGCGACTGGATTTGAACTCTTGATCTCTTTACCAACAGTTATATGTGCATTGTGCATACCATTCTGACATCAGACAGGTACGACCCCCAAAGATTCTACCAGCACCCAGGGCCCAGAGTCTTTTTCATTTTTCCCTCTTCTTCCTCCCCCCCCTTCCCCCCTCCCCCCCCCTCTCTCTCCTCTTTCTTTTTCTTTAGAAGGGCAACGGCTTTGAGATATCATCATTGAGCTGACGGCCCCCGGTAATTCAGAATTATTTTATTCTGTTCATCTGATCGCAGCTGGATTCAAACTTGGGTCTGTATTTCAACAGTTCATTGGGCGTATTTGTTTTCCACAGAACCCACAAAAGTCTTTTCTGAGAGCCATATCTGCGCCGGACCAGAAAAGTGCCCTGAATATAATAAGCCTGAATTCAATGCATCGGAAGCCGAGCGCAATTCAATGAACCTGCGAACAGGGAAGAAGACAGGCATTATGTGGACATCATGACGCTTGGGAATGAAGGCACGCCAAGTGCACAGCCGCCCCTCTGTCTCTCCCGACCGGGTTCAACAAAGACAACCAACAATGGAAAACGTGATAAATGGATAGATACCCGAGTCAAAACTCAACCAAATCGACCCGAGGTGAACATGGGCAAGCAAACGAAAACTACCTACATCCATGGAAAGAAGAATGTCAGCTGGACCCATATTAGTTCCCGACAAAAGACATGGACAGAAGAGGTGGGCATAGAGGAATTGGGAAGGGAGAGAGAGAGAGAGAGAGAGAGAGAGAGAGAGAGAGAGAGAGAGAGAGAGAGAGAGAGAGAGAGAGAGAGCCGGGGCCTGGGACAGTCGAGGGGAAGGGAAGAGGGGGTGCACGGGTGGCGGTGGGGGCAGGGGGAGCAGGAGGAGGGGATGAGAAAAGTAACATGCAATTTTCAATTGGCATCTTTTACCTGAAGAATCGTCTGTACAACATTTGAAGATGTGCATGTGATGGTTGGAACCTTGAGCTGTGCCTCTGCCTTTGTCTCAAGTGACGTGTTGATGTAGATGACATGCAGAGCATTGGGGGTTTTAGAAGCCTCATCAAGAAACTTGACATAACTTGTTCCCTGCGCTGCCGTTGCAAGGGAGCAGCCTATCTCCAGGTGTGACATGCGATAGACTCCCACATGCGAATAACCAGCCTGGTCAAGGATGGCACGCACGTTCTCTGACATGAAGTCCACCCCAAGCACAGCTATGGTGGTGCATCCTGCTTCCGCCATCTTCACCGCTCCGTCTGCCATGACGAGGGAGTCAGAGATCAAAATGTGCGGCCAACGACTTCGAGCTGCAGCAAGCACCCCTTGCACCTCAGGGTCCGTGTAGAAGTGGGCGACAACTCCGATCTTCTTTGAGGAAACCAAAGACACTAAGTTGTCCACAGCATAGGGGTCCGGAAATAAGAAGCGCGCCTGGGACTCAGCGAAATCCCCACGTGGTTGGAGCTCGCCATTTGCAGTGATTAGTATCGACGGGAAGGGGGCAACTGGGGTCAAACCGTCACGTAGCAGCGCTAATTCCCCTGCTCTTTTCTGCATCATCTTCAGCATGTTGTAGAAGCCGTTGATCCTAGATCGGGTGGTGATGGGGGAAAGATGCATGGAGGCGAGTGTTGCTTCCCTTACATCGAGTATCGCCTCAGGAGTCAGTCCACTTATTCCTTCAATGAGGACAGCACAAAGGCCACGCGACAACTCGGCATCGCTGTCACCGCTGAACCAAACCCTTCCTTCATCATCCAATCTCGCAGTCACCCAAACACGTGATGTGCATCCCATAACTTGATTCTCAGGAATGCAGTCCTCCTTGTCCAGGCGTGGCAACCGGTCTGCATAATGGAGGAGGAGTCTCATCTTTTGTTTGTTATCTTCACATCTGCTAAACTCCTCAGAGATCTTCTGCAGAATCACCTCGTCACCAACATGTCTGAGGACTGCATCGGCAAGGGCGCAGCGAACCTCTCCCACCCTCAGTTTACCTTCCATTTTCCTCCTGACTCGTACCGAACAGCCACATATCGGCAATTTCGACGGCGATCTTGACCCGCAGCCCCAGGGCTCAGAGTGAGAGAGGGGTGACTGCCGACTTCTGCTGTCGTTGACATGCCCACTCTCCCACCTGTGAGAGCAGTCTGGTTCAGAATACCCCTGGCATGAGAATCTCAGAGATCCTGAGCGCCGATGTACCCTGCTAGAGCAGCACAAAGACATCGATGATGACGAAGAAGCCACTTGAGCAGAGCAACAACATCCATTTCTACCGCGTCTTCCCTCACCATCCTGCCATACAACTCCGGTAGCCCATGCTGATTCCTTTCCCAGCGCGCCTGCAACCACCTGCACCTCCATCTTCCTCCTCTTCCTCCTGCTCCTCCTCCTCCTTTCTCTCTCTCTCACACACACTCACACATTTTTTCTCTGTTACACGCTCCTCTTTGCACCTTGTTCGATCCCTCCCATATCTCAGAAACACTCTTTCCTTCCTTGCTTGAGATACACTTCACTTCCTTTTCCACAAGTCATGCTACTAAGCCGCTGTCATATACATCTCTTCCTATTCAAGCCTTGCAGTTCAGAGGCGCGCCAAATTTACAGTCTCTTAATCTACACTGGTTACATTGCTGATCATGAGAAACCCCTTCAGTAGCTGATAGATTCAGGGATCCCAAGGTGTACAACCTTCCTGGTGCAACAAAGCAAGGGCCGAAACACAGAGACTCATGTTAAACGCTAGCCAACACCCACCTCACTCACAAACCATTTTATTTTCTTCCCAAATGCAAACCCTAATATGCTAGAAGAAAATTTGAAAGCAGAAAGCTCAGGCGAAGCCATCCAGCTAGCATGATAGAGCTATGTACCATTTCACTCAAACAGAACATACGGTCATTACTGCTCTCCCTCCCGTTCTCTCTCTCTCTCTCTCTCTCTCTCTCTCTCTCTCTCTCTCTCTCTCTCTCTCTCTCTCTC